ATAAATAAATGCACATTTTAAAAATATATATATAGTGAACTTATCCTTTTAATCAATTGTTTTGTTCTCAACTATAATAGAAAATAATCCCACATAATGGATGGTGAACTAAACATTCATTGGCCAGTTTCAGCCCCCTGAAGGTATAAAGAATGGCTTTATATACCACCTATGACTAATAAAGTACATTTAAAGCAGACTTCAACAAAACATTTTCCACTTCACCTTGCCAGTAAGGACTCCCTAAACCTGCTCCAAATAATATGTTTCCATTCTGCCTTTATATTTCCCCGGTCTAAATGGTGTGACCTGTAGTCTAGGTATCTCTTCTTACACTCACTGTGTGCATCAAGATCTTTCCTGTCCACCTTGCCTAGTTCTTCAAAAAAAGACTTTGCATTTGTGTTACATACACAAGAACATAGCAGCATAAAGATGACAATGGTAGTGCTAGAAAATGGACAAAACTGCCTCACGGACTGCAGTAGCATGTTGTAGTATAGGAGAAAACTATATATTTGTTGGTGGATAGAATTCAATATAACATTAAGAAAAGGATTGCTTGACCAAGGGCTAGTTTCTGCTTCTGAGGAACCTGGATGCTTCCATTGCTGCTGTCCTTTTTACTAGAATGCCATTTGCCTAGCAGTAATGCAGATTCTCTGACTTCAATACATTCTTAGCCACTATCAAGGATACAGGCAGTGAAATTGCCACATCTAATCTACATTCTTGTTCCAGGTCAGTATATCTCAGAAGGACCTGACAATATCCGACCAATATGAAAACCAAACAAGTAGCATTTGGAGGAGTCAGCAGTATCAAGCTCCATGGTTCTCATTGTACAGGGGTTTATGTCGACATCACTGCTAAATTGTGTCATTTCTTCAGATTTATCATAATCTAACATACCTAAATCATGAATGTTACCTTCTCTACACTTGCTGTACCTTCAGGTAAAACCATCCCCTCCCTGCCTCTACACCCAAATGTTAACATCTTCTCTAAACTAATCTCAAGGTAACCTTGATACAAACGTTAGCAACTATCATCACAGACTAGGGACACAATGCTGGCTACACGGCCTGTTATGCCATCATGGCACACTACAGGGTGTCTACATCAAAAGAGGGTCTATGCTGGATATGTATTAACCTGTTTGTGATGGTTTAAGAAATTCTTTGGAATCGTATAAATATATAAACAGTAAACAGTTTACATGGTTCAAAACTAAACTATTGATCGAAGATGGTTAACACCCCCCCCCCCCCCTTAAGTATTCTTCTGATGTTTACATACTGATAGAGTTGGGGCCTCTGCCTTATGGGCAATATGTTCCCAATGAACAAGAATCTCAAACATCTAGGTATATATACTGCACATCACATACAGCTACTGTCACACACCAAAAGAGTCATTTTGGACAACTACTTCTTAAGCACATTATACACAAATTGTGCTGAAATCTGTTGCTCGTGTACACAGCAGAAGCCACCATTTAGTACACTATCTAAAGGGTTCCAGCAATATCACAAGGCACAGTGTATGGAGATGTCAGACATTCCTAGAGGAGGAACTCTAGCCTCTGCCTTGTGAACATGATCACTGCACCTCCAAGTCTCCATTCACCCTTCTGTCAGATCAGCAGTGCAGTTTTGCTGTATTTTAAATGTGTTTACCATACATCCCATTCAAGAAACCTCACCAAGGATGCAGCAAGCAGGGGTTTCTTTTTTTTTTTTTTTTTTTTTTTTTAATGCACTGCACTCGCAACCCATACGAGTAAACGTACACTAAACAAAACATTTTTTTTTTTTTATATATATAATACTAGGTAGGAACTTACTGTGAGACATCAGAGCACAGAATAAGCTGAAAATCAGCTGTCCAGTAATCACAATATGTTTAGAAAACACACGGAGTAAAGTTACCTGAAGGGGTTGGATTCTGCGGAACTTAGCACATAGTGTTTGTGTTACCAGCAATCTGCTTGAATACAAAAGAAAAAGCATGAGCACACAAACTTGCACCAAACAGCAGCACTACAAGGACACATGAGGAGTATCAGAGAAGACCTACACATAGTGGGATATAGGATATAGAAAAATGGGGAGAGCTCAGGTCATCTGCTCCAGACGCCCTAGGCTGTCCCTCATATACAATGTGTAGAAAGCAGCAAAACCAGATCTGTTAGGCTATTGAAAAGTCAGTTCAGATGCTGAAAATGTGTGTCCTCGATTCCAGTTGACTACAGCAATAAGGCACCAGACTAGGTGTGTTCTGGGATAAGCCTCATGCACTGGGCAAATCTGGGGTCTTCCCAGCTTGGGTCATTTTCAATTTTTATTTATTTTTAACAAGGAGAGTGTCTGCTTCTCAAATCTTAAAGCTGAACTCAATAATAAGCTCATTTTGTCTAAATACAAGAGGTATATTCTTACTTAAATCTTTGTGTATTTCTTCCAGCTCAGGCAACGAGACACACCTCTGTACAAGAGGAGATACAGACAGGTCACTCTGTGTACGGTCAATAGTCTTGTGCCTGATCCCTCCTGTAGTGGATGGACTGGTTGGGTCCCTCCAATCTCTCTGCTCAAGACTATGCACAGCACAGTAATGATGCCACCACTACTTTTACAAGATACTATCTGGGTGCAAAAATTTATTTATATCACCTGTGGCTATTGAGGAATACATCCAATGAAAAGCTTCTCTGCCTGGAGTTCAGCTTAAAAAATATTCATTGAGTCACAGTTTCCGCTACAGCCCCACCTGCAGGTAAATCTTAGATTGTTGCTCTATCTAATCAAGTGGGATAAGCAAAGCATATCATGGTCTGGACCAGGGATATGCAAACATCCAGCTGTTGTAAGAGTCCTAAGAAGCATTGAAAGAATCTAACAACCACAAACAGGCCTGACGGGACTTGTGGTCTACATAGCAGCCCTGTACAAATTCATAAGGGCTCATTGGGCAGGTGGGGCTGGCAGTGAACAGAATGAAAATGAGGCACAGGCTGCATCTGTCCCGTGGAGGTAAATAAGAATCTGGGGTTTTAGTGTAGGTTAGTTCAGGGCCTAGGGGAGGGTTTACTGTAGTTGACATAGCTGTTCCTTAGAGGTATAGTTTATCTTCCCCAACAAGCAAATGACAAATTTGCATCTGTGAATTAGTTCTCATATTTGCTTGTGTGCAGAAGTCCAGCTTACCCCTCTCTATTACAGTTCTGAAGTTGTCAGTTGAATTACTATCTGATTCAAAGAGCAATGATGGTGTGCAGAGTGCAGTAACTTTTATCAGAGATTGTCTTCACTGATCTGTTTCTGGTAAACAAATCTGATTAAATGATGCAGGCCAGTGTTTCTTGGATTCAGTCCTGAAGGGCTCACAGGCCAGGTTTCCTTCATTGGGAATGGCTTTGGCATCAAGCATCCTTCATACGTCACCTAGACAAGGTGCAAGAAAACCCAAAACAATGACAACCAGAGCCAGTGGTAATAGTCTGTAAAGGGCCCACTGCACAAGAACTACGTTTTGCTATTCTTTGCTACCCAAGTACAAGCACGTATTAACTATAATGTAGGCAAAGGGTAGCATTAGGGATGCCTTGACCTCTTAGTCCACCACATACAACCTCAGTCAGACCGTAAACACCCCCTTTACCTCTACTCCATATGGCCATCTGTATGTCTCAGTGGCAATCAGGCAGGGCGTAAAGGAGGTGTTTACTGTTCAACATCACCTGTAATTATAAGCCAGGAGAACAGTTCAGGCATCATAAGATTTACCTCCCACTCCTCAAGTGAGCAGTGCCAAATCAAAGTGTCCAGCACTTGCCAGATCCACATCTAATAATCTAGCCCATAAATCCCAGAGGGCCCTTGTACAGCTACACCATCTGCACAAATGATATATTCACCCCTTACTGGAGCTGAGAAACACCAAACTCTTCAAATATGCCACTGATGTTTTCCAAAATAATACAGCAATATCTAATCGGTTTACATCAATAAGAGAATAGATAAAAATTTATCTTTGAAATTACCATTTAAGGCACATCAGACATTTCACAAAAAGCCAAGATATTGTTATTACATGGTTACACATTTCCTTGCAAAAATAGAGATGATGAATGTTTCACATTGACTGGGGGCACTCACACTATTACACTTTTCTGTATGACCTAACGGTTACAACAGCTGTACATTTCTTTGTGTTGACCTGTCCATATATCTGTTATTCCTCACGAAAAGTGAGAACAGGTTATATTGCTGGGTGGTAAAAACAATACATTTTGATAATATTGAAAGAAAGTCATCCTATGGCTGCTTTGAGCATTGTGAACTCCTTTGTACCATTGATACTCAAGGGTAGCTCCCTTGAATATATCTGTGCCCCAGTGTCAATGCACTGAACCCTGGGAAAGATTTTGTTGAAATATGGGGCTTTCTTGGAGAACTGGAGCAGAGGCAAAATAAGGCGGTTGCCAAAAACAAGCAATCAACCAGGATTTACCTTTGACGTTGACCACAGTAGTGAATGTGAGTGGCTGCAATGGGCAATAACTCCAGTTTTCATACATCAGCCCCGTAGTATGCCGATGGAAATCTACCTTCAAATGACTCTGATTAAGGATACTGGAAGGCACTACTACTATTTGCAATGTTAAACAATTATTTGCCTAAAATGGGCCTTGGGCGGTGATATGCTAGTGTAGTGACACCCCTGAGTAAAGGCACCTCTCCAGCCATGTTGTTGGTGAGCTGGATGGCTCAGTAAGTGCACCCTGAACAATTGCTATACAACCCTGTGCTGGAGGTATCCCTTTATCAGCTGGCCATGAGTAAGGACACTGGCACATATTGTGCTACACCACCCTCATATGTTTAACCTCGATGCCAACATATAAAGCATGGATTCCCTTTAGGGATAATCCCTGATTTTACTCTATATTCAAATAAGTCCACACACCAAACATCCCTGTAAAAGCTCAGACTCATTTAAGGACGGTACGTTTTGATGACATCTTTTATCACCCTTCGGCAGATGGGGCAACAGGCATTGACCTGCCTCTTCAGCTTCATTCCACAACTACTACACAGACACATGTGGCCGCAGGTGTAAATGACGGTTTCAACTTCATTGTCAAAGCAAACTGCGCATTCTCCATCTTTGCTCCCTTGAGGCTCTGGTGCAAACACAGGTGACACGGGAGGACTTAGAGGGGAACTAGGAGCCGTCACTAGAATAAAAGAAAACCATGTTTGAGAGACTGACTTTAATACAGCACACCAGAACATAAACTGTGCAATTTACTAACAGGATGTTTCTACAGGGAGAGCCTTAAAAGCGAATACCCTGCAGTCATAGCATACAGTGTTACTAAACCCAGGACCCTGCATTCACTATATCTGGTCTCCCACAGTACACACACAACATGGAAATGCCATTATTTTAGTAAATACAAGCTGCTAAATACCTTTTCTCATTAGCAGTATATACAGTGAATAAGAAAAGTCTACACACCCCTGTTAAAATGTCAGATTTCTGTGATGTAAAAAAGACAAAGATAAATAATTTCAGAATTTTTCCACCTTTAATGTAACCTATAAACCGTACAACTCAGTTGAACAACAAGCTGAAATCTTTTAGGTGGAGGGAAGTAAAAATAAAAAACTAAAATAATATGGTTGCGTAAGTGTGCACACCCTTAAACTAATATTTTGTTGAAGCACCGTTTGATGTGATTGCAGCACTCAGTCTTTTTGGGTATGAGCCTATCAGCATGGCACATCTTCACTTGGCAATATTTGCCCACTCTTCCTAGCAAAAACATCCAAATCTGTCAGATTGTGAGGGCATCTCCCGTGCACAGTCCTCTTCAGATCACCCCACAGATTTTCGATCGGATTCAGATCTGGGCTTTTACTGGGACATTCCAAAACGTTAATCTTCTTCTGGTGAAGCAATTCCTTTGTTGATTTGGATGTATACTTTAGGTCATTGTCATGCTGAAAGATGAAGTTCCTCTTCATGTTCAGCTTTCTAGCAGAAGCCTGAAGGTTTTGTGCCAATATTGACTGGTATTTGGAACTGTTCATAATTCCCTCTACCTTGACTAAGGCCCCTGTTCCAGCTGAAGAAAGACAGCCCCAAAGCATGATGCTGCCACCACCATGCTTAACTGTGTTGTTTTTGCATCAAACATATATTTTGGAATTATGACCATAACACATTTCCCACATGCTTTTGGGAGAGACTGTGTTTTTGCAAAATTTATCCGGGCTTGGATGTTTTTTCTTCATAAGAAAAGGCTTCTGCCTTGCCACTCTACCCCATAGCCCAGACATATGAAGAATACGAGAGATTGTTGTCACATGTACCTGACAGCCAGTACTTGCCAGATATTCCTGCAGCTCCTTTAATGTTGCTGTAGGCCTCTTGGCAGCCTCCCAGACCAGTTTTCTTCTCATCTTTTCATCAATTTTAGAGGAACGTCCAGTTCTTGGTAATGTCATTGTTGCGCCATATTTAATCCACTTGATTATGACTGTCTTCACTGTATTCCATGGTATATTGAATGCCTTGGAAATTCTTTTGTACTCTTCTGACCTCCTCCTCCTGATACCTTTTAACAATGAGATGCTTTGGAAGATCTCTGCGGACCATGGCTTTTGCTGTAGGATGCAACTAAGAAAATGTCAGGAAAGACCTACTAGAACGGCTGAGCTTTATTTGGAGTTAATCAGAGGCATTTTAAATGATGGTAGGTGTGTACTGACTCCTATTTAACAGGATTTTGGATGTGATTGCTTAATTCTTAACACAGCACACTTATACAACAACATTATTTTAGTTTTTTATGTTTACTTCTCTCCCCTAAAAGATTTCAGTTTGTTTTTCAATTGAGTTGTACAGTTTATAGGTCACATTAAAAGGTGGAAAAAGTTTTGAAATGATTTATCTTGGTCTCATTTTTTTACATCACAGAAACCTGACATTTTAACAGGGATGTGTAGACTTTTTATATCCACTGTAGCACTCTTGTGACTTCTATCAGTGTCCAGCAGAGCACTGGTTACAGCTTGTAGGAGGAGTTTTCATTCTGTTCTAGCAAGATGCAGGACCCTTGACCACTGTCTGGACAGTGCTAATTTGCCCTGTGCTCATCACATGCACTACCAAGAAAAAAAATAAAAACCTCTGTAGCAATACACACCAAACTGTGCATGTGCAGAGTGACTCCATGCCATATGTCTTATCAGGAGATAAGAGGGGGAAACTGGAAAAAAAGGGTGAATCAGAGAAGTCTGGATCAGACAGCATTTTTACACAATGCAGAAGATTAACCCCTTAGGTTCCACAGTGAGTATAACAAGCATGCTTTACTGCATATACAGACTGATTTTACTGTTGTGGGTTTAGTAACACTTTAATGCTGGGCCATTCTGACAGCCAGAGCTTAGGCATCTACCCATAGTGTTGAAGTTCTCTGCTCCTGCACATTCCTATTGGTCAGTGAGGCTGTATAAGTAAAGATAACTATCGGTTCTCTTTGGCACAAAATTATCTTGAAAATATTATGGTCTACAATGCCATAGAAGTATCGATCCCAAAACAGCCTCTTGTTTTAAACAGGCTGTGATGGAACACTGCTTTGGCAAAACACGCATGGAAAGTGCAAACATGGCAGCTGAAAAGTGACCAGCACTATATCCATACATACCCAAAGACGACTCTGAGGCTGAAGAGGAACGATTCACGCTGAAGGCCATATCTGAGTCACTGTCATACTGGGAGCCGCTAGGAGAACCAGATGGGGAGAGAACGTTGGATTGTACGGTGCCTGGCGATAAGAAAACAGGAGTCAGGATACATAAGTGAAAATCCAGATTTGTTTAAATTAAAAATGTTCAAAACCATTGCATGCAATAGAAGATTTTAGAAAAAAATAAACTTTTTTTGCATCCTAAGCTGCTGTTGCTCTGAAAAAATAGGAATACCTTCCTTAGGCCTCATTCACACGCAGGGGAGGACTGACCATTTGGAAACTCAGGCATTGCCCGAGGGCCCGGTTTCAGTAGTGGGCCCCATGAGATGCCCCTGGTACTTTTTTCATAGGCTTTTTTTGAGTTTGGGCAAGGACACAGGGGCCCCATGATCCCCAATTGCCCGGGGGCCCCATGAGTTGTCAGTCCGCCCCTGTTCACATGGGGTACTTAAGGGATAGGTTCGCCTTTCGTAATATGTTACACCCATATTCAGGTGTTCATGTTACAAATGGACCTCCCCCCTACCATTGTGACAGCTAGCTGGAGATCTTCTTCTCCCCGCAAGCTGTCACAGTTTTTAAAAAACAAGGCTGTACAGGGCTCCATCTGCCCAGCTGCATCACTTGATCACGGTGTTCTGTGAACAAATGAACTACAAGTCCCAACAGCCTTTGCAGTTGTGGTGCTGTGGTAGTTCTTTGATTCTTCCTGTCAGTATATCTGCTTACCTGTACATCCTGCATGGACAAGCAAATATACTGACAGATCTGCAGGAGACATGCATGGCACCAGCTATCTGCTGATCACTGGCGCAATGCTTTTGAGGCTCCAGAAACAAAAAATAAATGCACTTTTTTTTTTACCTGCAAAAAAAGCGCATTTATTATTTTTTTTGTAAAAAGGTGAACTTCTTTAAATATACAATCATGTGACGGCCATGTTTGCCTACATGGGATACACAGGTGATCTGTGCATCCTTATGCAGGCAGTCCCATTTATGTCTTTTGGGACGCAGTGGCTGCATGGACACAGCTGCTGCTCCCAGTCTGACATGCATGCAGGTACAGTTGTGTCCAAAATTATTCAACCCCCAATGCTGTAAAGGGGTTTAGGGACTATAGTGTACATTTGGAATTGTATTCAGAATCAAATCCTACAAGGACGTTGTAACTACCCAAATGCAACTAAAATGACATCAATTTTTTATGTAATACAGTAGTAAATGGTTCTTATGTGGTTTCTTCATTGCCACAATTATTCAACCCCTTAAAGACTACCACTCTGAAGAACAGAGGTTCATACAGGTGCTTTCCATCAGGTATTGAAAACACCTGTGGATGTCACCGAGCAGCAATCAAGCATAATAAGCACCAATTAGGCAGCTTTAAAATGACTGTGATACTCAGCTCCTTCTAGACATTTACTGGTGTGGTTACAAACATGGTGAAGGCAAGAGAATGGTCCAGGAAAGACAAGAGAAGAGGTGATTTCTCTTCACAGGAAGGGCAATGGCTATAAGAAGATTGCAAAGATGTTAAACATACCAAGAGACACCTTAGGAAGCATCATTCGCAAATTCAAGGCAAAGGGCACTGTTGAAACGCTACCTGGTCGTGGCAGAAAGAAGATGCTGACTTCGACTGCTGTGCGCTACCTGAAGCGTAGAGTGGAGAGAAGTCCCCGTGTGACTGCTGAGGAACTAGAAAAAGATTTGTCAGATGTGGGTACAGTTTCAGCCCAGACAATAAGACGCACACTGCGTAATGAAGGCCTCCGTGCCAGAACTCCCAGGCGTACCCCCTTGCTGTCTCCAAAGAATAAGAAAGAGTCGACTGCAGTATGCCAAAAGCCATGTGGACAAACCACAAAAGTTGTGGGATAGTGTTCTGTGGACTGATGAAACAAAATTAGAACTGTTTGGGCCCATGGATCAACGCTATGTTTGGAGGAGGAAGAACAAGGCCTATGATGAAAAGAACACCTTGCCTACTGTGAAGCATGGTGGAGGGTCAATCATGCTTTGGGGCTGTTTTGCTTCTGCAGGTACAGGGAAGCTTCAGCGTGTGCAAGGTACCATGAATTCTCTTCAGTACCAGGAGATATTGGATGGAAACGTGACGCAGTCCGTCACACACCTGAGGCTTGGGAGACGTTGGACCTTTCAACAGGACAATGATCCCAAGCATACCTCCAAGTCCACTAGAGCATGGTTGCAGAGGAAAGGCTGGAACATTTTGGAGTGGCCATCGCAGTCACCAGACTTAAATCCGATTGAGAACCTCTTTGGGACTTAAAGAAAGCAGTTGCAGTGCGCAAGCCTAAGAATGTGACTGAACTGGAGGCCTTTGCCCATGAAGAATGGGCGAAGATACCCGTAGATCGCTGCAAGACACTTGTGTCAAGCTATGCTTCACGTTTTAAAAGCTGTTATAACTGTAAAAGGATGCTGTACTAAGTACTAAGATTGAATGTCACTTGGGGGTTGAATAAAACTGATAATGCTGTGAGCACAGAAAAGACATTTGTGGTTATTTCATTATAACTGTTATGTTATATTTGTCTGACCTACAAGTGCCTCTTTAATGTAAATGTAAGCAAGATGACTGAATGATCAAAAGCAATGTCAAACTGGCCAAAACACTCAATTTCAGTGGGGGTTGAATAATTTTGGACACAACTGTATGTGTCCCTGAGCTCACACTCTGCATACTGGCACACGCACCTGCACACACATAGATGTAGATGGGAGCAGCAGCTGTGTCCCAATAGACATGAATGGGATTGCCGGCCCAGGGATGCACACAACACTTCTCTTGATTCTTAAGAGCCAAATGGAAGGATGAGGTCAGTGCAGCCAACAACCCATTTTTAGGATGAGAAATAGTCAGCAATCCCACAATACAGTATAACTGTCAGCTTTGCGTAGTCAGAACTTTAAATCCGAACCTCTAGTCTTACCCAGGTGTATGGGCTCCTGGCCTGTACTGAACATGCTTACACTGATTTCATTGCACACTGTGACCTTATTACAGTGTGCATTGGAAGCTCCAGCACGTCAGATTAAGCCTGCCTCATTTTCTAGTTGAAGGACATTCAGCCCCATCCAACATTTTCTTTCCTCTGGCCCAACACTTTTATTTATTGGATTTCAAATCTATCAATCATGGAGGTTCAGCATTACATGTGGGCATTACCTAGGTTAGTCTGCATGTAAATACAGTCTGACTAGGAATGCCAACCCTTCCAGACTAACACCCACTTAGGCATTTTAATATTTGCACAGCTCCCCTCAAGAACCAGCCCACTGCTTGCATCAGCACTGAGGGTTCTCGAAAAGAGTACTGAGGCAGAGTGCTATGATATATTTGGGAAGCCATGTGCAGCCTCATCTGCCTGCTTTGCATAGTGAAGCACAGAGGCCCAGGGCTGATGTCACTGGTTTAAAATAAGGTACTATAAACAAGGGTTTTTTTTGTTTTTTTCTTTTAATAATTAGCATCTTGGTGAGGAAAGAGCGACCTGTGAAGGTAAAAAATGAAACAAAAGATTAACCCCTTGGCGTCGGCCCCTCCAGACCCTTTAAGGGTTCCAGAAGCCGGGAGGCAGGGCGGAGTTTTAGGGTCATGTGACCGACTTGATTCGCTGTCACATGATCGGGAAAGATCCCGATCGAAAGAGGAGATCGGGACCATTCCGTAAGTACCGAACGTGTGTGCTGGGAGCGTGCTTTCAGCACATATGTTTTTTTTAATAGAAAAACAATTTGTGGTTGGCCAGTGCCAAGAGGTTAAGCAGATTAAACCTCAGCTTTAATATAGGATAGAGTTGGGATAAAATGAAGATCTGATCCAGTCCCCAAGCATCTCTGCAGGACATCATTCATAACAGCCACCTGTTGCTCACTGTTAGGATAGAGATGAGAACTATTGTAGTGACCCGTTTATGCAGGGGAAGACAAAGGAAGAGCTAGGAAAAAAACAACTGGGACTCAAGCAGTGTATCTATCTATCTATCTATCTATCTATCTATCTATCTATCTATCTATCTATCTATCTCACACACACATACACACATACAGACTCCAGCAAACCACCACACACCTCTTTCACTCACTGTTGATTTCTCATATCTATGCAAATCTGCTAGTTTAGCAGAAAAGATTTCTTAGATTTCTAAGCACTATTTAAGGTTGCTACTCTGCGGATGTGGAAATTAATAATGGCATGAAAACACCCCTGAAAAAAGAAGGGCTAGAATTATGAGTGCTGCCACTGCTGGCATGTTTTTGGTATACACCGATCAGCCATACCTTTATGATCACTCATCTAATATTGAGTAGGTGCCATAACAGCCCTGATCTGTGGTCTGATCTGGCACCAAGCCATCAGTAACAGATCCTTTAAGTCCTGTAATTTGTGAGGAGGGGCTAACGGGGGTGGATAGGACTTGTTTTCCCGCACATCCTACAGATGCTCGACATGACTGAGATCTGTGGAATTTGCAGGCCAAGGCAACACCTCAAACTCATTGTGTTCCTCAAACCATTCTTGAACCATTTCTGCAGTGTGGCAGGGCACATTATTGTGCTGAAAGAGGCCACTGCCATCACGGAATACCATTTCCATGAAGGGGTGCACTTAGTCACCAACAATGTTTAGGTAGGTAGTAACATCCCACATGAATGGCCGGACCCAAGGTTTCCCAGAAGAAGGATGCCCAAAGCATCACACTGCCCCTGCTGGCTTGCTTTCTTCCCAAATTGCATCCTGGTGCCATCTCTTCCCAAGATAAGCAACATACATGCAACCGGCTATCGCCATGATGTGAAAGAAATCATGATTCATCAGACCACCTTCTTCCATTGCATCGTGGTCCAGCTTTGAAACTCACATGCCCATAGTAGGGGCTTTTTGCTGTGGACATGGGTCAGCATTGGCATCCTGCCTGGTCTGCACTAATGCAGCCCCATACACAACAAACTGTGTTGCATGTTTTTTTCTATTTCAACTTCAGGAACAACAGGTTTACTTGCTTCCTAATATACCTACCCACTTTCAGATGCCATTGTAATGGG